TAGGGTCATTGTCGGTCATTGAGTGTGAACCTTCTGCCCAGTCGGAGGTTCTGAATGCTCTGGACTGGGTTTTCATTAAGGCTATCTCTATATTTTGCTGCACTGAGCATTCCTTCTACTCTGACGAGCCACTGAAAAACAGCCCCACAGCAAGAGGTTGCTACCAGCACACTTTACTTTTGGGTTCATCAGACCAGAGAATCTTGTTTCTCAGGTTAAATACACTCGAAGTATAGTAACATCTACAAGCAATATGAAGACTACTAAGGTCAATTTCAATTGTCCCAAATAAGGGTATGAATACTTATGTATAACCTTTCTCTCCCGGGTCCTACTCGCATACGCTCCGAGCGGTACTCGAACCCGAGTCGCCGGCATGGGAGGCGGGCGCACTAACAAGGAGGCTAAAGACTTTACCTGCACAGCACCTACCCACTGGCCTCCATTACATATGCAATGGAATAATTTAAGTTTTTTGCTTTTTGCTTTGCCATTATGGTGTATGATGTAGTGTAGATTGATGTGCTAAAAAAAGTAATTTAAAGCTGTTTAACATAAGGCAGCAACATAACAATATGTGTGGGAAAAAATGAAGGGGTCACAAGGCAGTGTGTGTATATATATATATATATATGTGTGTGTATATGTATATGGGGCGTGTTAGAATGAGCCGTTTTAGGTAGGCGTGGTTTACTCTTAACTTTTATAAAGAATATCTCTTTGGATTTGAGACTTTAGTCTTTGCAACTTTACAGATCTTCTTTATGCACCAAGAGCTTGTAACACTCCAAAGAGAAAGGAAAAATTGAAATCGCATCATATGACCCCTTTAAGCAGGATAGCATACATTTTGGTACTTGAATACTTACAATTCATTATCACAAATATATGAACGGAATATATGAATGGAAAAGCAACGTTATAACACAGGTGGCAGATTTATAGGTCTGTATAGTAACCTACCTATATAGTCCATTTAGAGGTCTAATTTATAAAGCTGGGGATGGTGACCCCTGGTGGTGAGTTTACTAACGTAGCACGGACATGCCGGACAATGGAGTCTCCGATGATCACAGCGTCGTGTTCCGTCTCGCGGAGGGGAGCGAAGTGGTTCCGGGTGGATATCTCGAAGACCGGAGGCGGCGAAGGGGGAGAGGTCGTCACCCGGGGCCTGGCTCGCATCTTCCGCTGCGGCTGCACCCAGGGTCCGTGGTGTCCCGGCGCCGGAGTGAAGGACATCTGGGAAGATCGCGTCCTGGGTGCACCGGGCCTGTGCAGAGAAACACACGGAGTAGAGGTGGTGGGAGAATTAGCAGCGCGCTGTATACTTACCTTGGACTTGTGAGCGTCAGCCTGGGATGTTTCCAGCGCGGCTCTCTGCTCTCTCAGCTGGGTCTGCCTCTCCACCAGGTCGCGGATCTGCTTCTCCACAGCCTCCAGCTCGAGCTGCATTCGGTGTCCTCACCTGCACTCAAAGGTAGACACACATCCGCCATTAAAGCAAGTAACAGTGAGTAAAACAATGGTAATGTGTGTGAATAGAGTATTAGCAATGTAAGCGAGATTAGCTGCAACCACGCTGGCGATGCTAATGGCCTATTTGCTAATAGCGGACTCGGGAAGTCAAAATAGAGCTAGTGATAACAAGGCGCTCTGATTGTTTTTGTTGTGGAATACGATAGGGGATATATTCACACGTTATAGAAACGAAAATGATGGTGTATAAATAAAATTGATTTTAAGATAAAAAATAGACGATAAAGAATTAACTTGACGGAGCTCAAACTCCGTCAAGTTAATTCTTAACAAGAATTTCAAGATTTCTAAATAATCTTGTAATAAATAATCTAATAAATCAGTCAGCGGAAGTGAGAAAAAAGTGTTTATTACGTTTGAAATATGGATATTTTTCTTACAAAAACGCATAGATTCGCCACAGGAGGCTTTTATTCACCCCTGGGACCTGTGTGAGGCACGTTTTATTACGGATGTGCGCACTTTATTTCACGTCTTCTGGACTGTTGACAAAAAGCACCCACTTACCCCCATTGTAGGGCTTGGAGGGTCCAGGACAATTTTTAATATAACTCTGATTGGATTTGCCTGAAAGAAGAAAGTCATATACACCTAGGATGCCTCGAGGGCGAGTACATCACAGGCTAATTTTAATTTTTGGGTGAACTAACCCTTTAAGTTTCTTTGAGGGAGAATGATTTAAGAACAGAAAACACAAAGCACTGTAAGAAACTTTGCTTAGCACACCATTATCTTTGTGTCTCTGGAACGACTTTGCGGCGTGCATTCTTACTGTTTTCAGACTGAGGAGTCAATTTTTTCATGTGGATATTGTTTTTCTCAACATTAACATGTAAAATAATATAAACACGATAAGCATAGGCCGACTCTGTACTGTAATTGGCATGGTCTGCTTTATTTTTTGCATTTGCTCTGCTTCAGCTTAAATGCTTTTGTTCTTATATATATTTTTGTTTATACACGTTTTCAACTAAAAGATAACCTTGAGGTATAATGTAACATTATGGTAGTACATTGTTGTGTATAATGCCTAACCACAAGCTTGTTCAGAAATGGTGACAAAAACTTGATTAAAAAAATAATGTCTTTTACTTTAAACCTAATTCAAATAAACAAATATTTGAATATTCATTTTTTATGAGCCCAAATATTCAAATACAATAAATATATATACGCACACACACATACAGTACATATATGCTTGTGACAATGAAGACACTTTGAATGACTGATGTTTGCCAAGTGATACATTTATTAAAATGTTATGCAGAAGAATTCAAGAACTGAACTCACTTCACATTTCTAATTATGCTGTTGATCCATGGAATATATAGTGAAATCTTAATATACACATTAGGTTTCTCAGGTGAATTGCAGAGTAATTTATATCCAAATGTTGTGACACCAACTGCAGTGTTTCCACAAACCAAAGGACCCCCAGAATCCCCCTGTTAAGAGAAAAAGTCAATAAAATACCATATATTGTATCAGTTGAAACTCAGTTCATTAATTAACATAAGAATCAAAGTGTGTGAATCATCTTTTGTACATACAATGCAGGATCCACCATGGCCACGTGTGCACATCATCTGTGAGACTGAGAAAGTCTCTTCCCACCTCTTGTGACATTCTCTGTTGTTCATTATATGCACGTTTGCCTCCATTAGACAATCGCTTTTTGGGCCACCAGTCCACAGTTGTCCCCAGCCCGCAAGACTACAGAGAGTATTCACCTCGACATCTTCACCTTTCTTTGGTAATGATATCCATTCAACATAGTTGCTTAGGCTGACTTTTTCCTGTAACTGTAATTCAAAAACACAACTGTTATTAATAAACTCATTTAATAATCTTTTATAAGACTGAGCTGCTGCTGATTATAGTGATGTTTGTGAAGTTGTCAACAGCTAAATGTATTACAAATTGTTACCCTCAAAAGCATGATGTCATTCCAGGAAAGATAAATAATATAGCTTGGATGTGGGATGTAGGACTTCACTCCGATACGATCTGAATTCTTACTGTTCCTTAAGTCATGAGCACCAACCACAACCGTCAGAATCTGAGATCTGTTGAAAGAGAAAGTCATGATGCTTAGTTTCATCATACAATGCACTGCAGTCACTATGTCAGCCAAAATTATTGTAACTACACAAAAAACCCTCACCCGTTCCAGCAATGTGCAGCAGTCAACACAAACTCATCAGAAATGAGGAATCCGCCACAGATATGTGTCTTATTCGACTGAATAGAAACCATGTAAGGTCTGGAGTGGGG